AAATAACTGTGTGAGAGAAACACATCGACTGACTGCCTCCAGCACGCACTGCGATCAGGGAGGAGCCCGCAACCGAGGTACGTGCCCCTGACCGGAATCAAACCCGGGACCCTTCGGTCTGCAGGCTGATGCTCTATCCACTGAGCCAAACCTACTAGGGCCAAAGAAGGTTCTTTGAAAAGAGAACATCCAAGTATGGACTTTAAGGATCAAGACACATGCAAACCTGGGGCGGGGGGAGGGGGTGGGGGGGAGTATCACTGGCAGAGGGAAGAGCATGTACAAAAGTCTTTAAGAAAGAATGAACTTTGAATACATCAGGGATTTCAGGAAGGATAAGGTTTCAAGTAAAAGTGACCAAGGGATAAAGAGGTAGGAAAGAAAGAAGAAACAAAGAGCCAGAATATACCTGTATGCCTCTTGGGAGTTTGCTCAAAGTTCGATGGGAATCCATTGTAGGGTTTTGAGTAGAAGAGTGGCAAGATCTGACACTTTTTTTTAGTTTTTAAAAATACTGGATTCAACATATTCAAAATTGAAGGTATAACTTTTCCAAATCTGATGTTCATATATCTGAAAATAGAACTAGTAATGCAAATCAGAAATTCAGAAGTTGCTCTGATTCCTCACCCCCATATCAAGTCCTATTGAATTTACCTCCTGATTATCCCTGCAACTTTTCTACTTTTTTTTTAAATTCAATATATTGGGGTGGCATTGGTCAAATACGGTCATACAGGTTTCTAGTGTACATTTTTCTGATACATGATCTGTATAGTGCATTGTATGCCCATACCATATATTTGACTCCCTTTACTACTTCCCACCACCTTCCCTCTGATAGCCACGATATTGCTGTCTTTGTCTATGAGTTTCAGTTTTATATCCCACATATGAGTGAAAGTATATGGGTCTTAGCTTTTTCTGACTAACTTATTTGGCTTAGCATAATATTCTCAAAGTCCACGTTGTCACAAATGGCAGTATTTCATCGTTTCTTATGGCTAATATTCCATAGTATATATGTACCACAGAAGATGTGAAAGTTTTCTACTTTTTTTCACTAGTGTAATCACCTTTAAGATCTCAGTTCTTTGCCTTTGTACTGGTCTGCTGACATTTACTCTTGACTGACCTCAAATTCATGTTCACAGTGAAGCTACACAATTGTGAAAGAGTGATCTCATGTATCCCCAGCAGCAGCAGCAACAAAAACAGTAGCCGTTTACCATTGCATTTAGAATAATGTGCACTACAAAGCACTGCATCTTTGGTCACTTCTGTCTAGCCAGTCTCTTCATCACCTGTGCCAGCTACACTATTCTTTCAGTCCCTTGTACCTAGTTGCCAGAGGTATTAGAGTGCATATAAAGGTATATAGACACCAGTAAGATAAAGCATATTCCATAAACTATGCCTAGAGCACTCTTCCTCTGCTACATCTAGTTATTTCCTACTCATTTTCCCTAAGGACGCCTTTCTTGATTGTCCATGAACGGGACACACTGCCACCCACAGCCCCACCCCCACCCCCCAACACACACACACACACACACACACACAGTTATGTGCCCTCTTAGCTTACTTCTCCTGTCAGCACTTAGCACAATCTCACTGCCTCCAGTATGGTCAACTACATGAAGACAGAGAAGGTATTTGTTTTTGTTTACTAGTCTATTTCTGGCTCTCAGCACTAGTACTCAAAAATGTTGATAAATGAAATTATGTTATTAAAATGTAGATATGGTAAATAACATCTTATGAAGGAACCTGATAATTTGTTTACAAATATCTCACGTGGT